CCGCTCAGACTCACTGTCTCGAACTCTTAGGGTCCCTTCTCCTCAGCCCTCTGTCCCTGTCCGTCTCGGGGTGTCGTCCCCTCACTCGCCGTCGGGGTCCCCCTCGGGTCTCCCCTTCACAGTCCGCACTGTGGAGCTCACTCCAGGAGCTCTGCTCACCCGGTCCTCCCTGACCTCACTCCGCCAGGAGTCCTCTGGTCCTGGCTCACGCTGTCACCGCCCGCGCCCCGGTGCACTCACCTCAGACCTGCTGTCACCACCCCCGGGCCCGGCGTCGCCGCCGCCGCCGCTTCCTCTCCCACACTTGTTCCTGAGTCGCTCTCCTGTGGCTCGTACCCCGGCGGCTCTTGGACTCGGGTTTGCTAAGTCCCGGACCCGACCACGCGGAGCCTCTGCCCGCGTTCTCCGCGTCGCGTCCCACTCTGCACTCAGGACCCTGCCGCCCCGCGCCACACTGAGTATTTAGTGGCCGCAGCTGCTGCTGTCCGAGGTGCGGCTCCTGCCAGGGGTGGCCAATCGCACCCGACTGCGCCGAGCGCGCTCCGCCCACCGTCTCAGTCCGCCCGCCCCCTGCCCCCGGCCACGCCCCCAACTCGGCTCAGATGGGTTCTCTACTGACCTTCCCTGATCGTCGGACACGAGGCCGGGGCCGGATATAGGTATTTGATTGGACGTGCCTGGGAAGCCGAACCGTCGATGGAACCCCATGATTGGCGAAGTTGACTGAGGGCGGGACGGGGTGGGGCGGAGTTTCCTCAGACTCGGAAGACCTGGTAACTTTAGTTACCCACGGGCCCTCCTGGGGTGCGGTCAGTCGTGTTTGTACTGCTTTGGGGTCAAAGTTCACACCTCCCCAAGCCTTTACTTTTCTTGGGAGACTCCTAGAGACCACCGTATTGGTTAGAGCCTTGGGGGTTGACCCCATTCTCTCATTAACCCTTGTGCAGCTTTCCTAGTAATTCTTTTGTAAATTAACAATAGCATTTATTGGCCTAGGCTTTGTAAATGTTTCCTGGACTTAAAGCGTTTTATACCTTTCCTTTCATTGCCTTACATTTCATATGTAATATTAGATGCATACTTTGCACAACTAAGCATTCCAGACAGGTCACATTTTGATAGGTACAAGGACAAAGCTTTAGAATTACTTAGTTTGTGGGTTTTGAAGATAGTAGGAACAGGAACTCTAGTAGGAGACCCCGTTAGCTTTAGCAAGGTTTCAGCAAGACTTCAAAATAACCTTTTTTCAGGGCCATGGGTTTTAATGATTCTATGTGAACTAATGGCCAAAGGATAATGAACTTTGACCCAAGAGTAACTTGTGATAACAGACCCATCTTCACCCAAGCTGAAAGATAGTGCTTTCCAGGGGTGTTAAGTGCATCTATGTTACCCAGAGCCATTCAGCTGCATTTTTGTGAAACTGATGTTGATTAAATCAGTACCAGAAACTGAAAACTGCTTTCCTCACCCTCAAACTCCAAGTCACCTAATGGACTTTGACAATTTAGCGTTTTATGAAGAAACTGTTTCATTTCAGGTACATGTTTTGATCTTAAGCCTATACAGGCCTTAGTTCTCAGAAAACCCTCCATTGTTAACTTTTTAAATGTCCACTGACAAAATTTGCATTCCAAACAGTATACATTTTTTCCCTAATGCTTAAAAATCATACCCTATTCCAATGCCAATGCTCCCCTTTAAAGTTTGGGCATTAGGGTATGCAGAGAGAGGGCCTGGAGGCACAGGAAGCTGTGTAAATCCACCTGTCAGGACTTGGTTTTCAGTTGAGTTTTGAGGCAGTGTCTCCTGAGCAGTGTGGCTGAGCACCATTTTGGGATGGGATGCAGACAGAGAAGAATTTCAGGATGGTAAAAATTGGTTTTGAGGGAAATTAATTTTTGCAGGCCTATGGAGACTGTCTAAAATCATCATGTTAAACAACTATAAAGGTTTTTTGAGTAGGTTCCTTTTCACCAAAGAGCTTTTTTTTTTTT